TATGAAGCAAAGACACATATACAATGTACACAACAACCAATTCCCTGTGCAAGTTCCGGGGTATTCTCACATATAAGAAAAAGGCAGGACACTGCATTTCACAGTCCACACTCCTCAAAGGAGAAGGGCTCTTAGGAATGGACAGAGGTGTGCACATGTGTAGGGAGGAAGAGACCAACTGGGCCCCCATACACCTCCTCAGGAGTCGGCCTGCTCCCCTCCTTCATCACCCCCACCAATGTTTTTCCCAAATCACTGGAGAAACAGAATTCATGAGTCCCTTCTTCCTGCCAGCTGTGGTGGCACAAGCTTTAATCCCAGCACTCAGGAAGCAGAGGCAGGTGGATCTCTGTGAGTTCCAGGCCAGCGTAGTGTACAAAGTAAATTTCAGGCCAGCCACAGCTACATAGTGAGATCCTGTCTCAAAACAAGAGAATATCTAACTGGTCTCCCTCCATTAGGGCCCATGGAGATGTGTTTTCCTCCACGCCTGGGGCACCTAAAAGTGAGGGTGACTCAGACAGGGAACAGGGTCTTAAGTGGGTGGAGTGACTCACCCAGAGTGTCTGGAAGAGGGGATGTCTGCTGAGAGATAACATCATGTACTTCCTCTGGACTCCACACCTGGGCCACACGGCCCTGGGGTAAGGGTGGTAAGAAGGGCCCTTACCGACGGTCCGCCTCTCCTCCTACAGACCCACTGGCTGCCGGCTGAGTTTTAAGTGTAAGCCATACATGTCAGTGGCAAGATATCTGGGGCAGAGACGCTAACCTGGGAATCTCTGAAATCCTCTTTCATGGCTTGGCATCCAACATAGAAGAAACCAGGGTTTCCAGTAAATCCCCTCACAGCAGACGTGGTAGAAGCAGCCTTAAGCACACCAATAGCCCAGGCTGGCATCTGGCCCAAAAGTTAAGATCCTTCCCCCAGGACATCAAGGGTCTTAATTTTTGTCTTTACTAACAGCAGCCATAAATGGATATAGTGGCTCACCTCAGTAATCTCAGCATGTGGGAGACTGAGGGCAGAGGATGACGAATTCAAGGCCAATTTAGTGAGACCCAGTTGATAGAAGTTAATATATATATATATATATATATATATATATATATATATTTCAAATAGTAACTACAGAAATATTTTCAAATGATGAGATTTGAAAATCTGGCTATGTTTAGATTAAACAGAGCGGTCTCGTTTAAGCTGGGAGAATCAAAGGGCTTTCATTGCTAATCCTCGGTTCGGGAAGAAAAGAGCTAGTGGAGGAGGAGGAAGGAGATGTCTACCAGCCACTTCCAAAGGAAGCAGAGACAGGCACCTGCCACGGGCACCCCTAGCAGCTGGTGGTCAGGGCTATGGATGGGCCAAGAGGCAAAGTCAGGCAGGAAAGAGCAACACAAAGAAGAGAGTTGGTGGTCTGTAGAAGGGACAGCAGGCGAGGTTCAGCCGAGGTGTATGTGTGTGTCCACCAGTCCAGCTCCCTCCAGGGGTGTGCCATGGGGCCTGGGCATCAGTCACACCCAAGAAGAAGGCCTGATCTGACCCTGAAGCTTGGCCTTGTCAGGCTTTAGGCCCTCTCAGCCACCTCAGGCCTGGCTGAGCTCCCCACCAGCCTCGCTTCACCCTGGTGGAGAGAGCTTCCTCCACAGCCCTTGTTTGAAGCTCCAACTCAGCCAGCCCCACCCTAGCATGAAATCTGAGACAGGGGATGGAGCCCTGAGCCTCTTGCCATTCCCAAAAATCACTCCCACTTTCAACATCAGCATGGCTTCGGCCTCATTCTTGGGGGCTAGGCTCCTGTCCCACACCCTCCAGAAAGCCTCCACTTGGCAAACCATCCCAGATCCCTGTCATCACTTTGCTCTGCCCCCCCCATCACCAGGAATGAAGAGATAACGAGGGACCCTACTCCTTCCTGGCTTATGCTGTGTAACTTTAGTGGGCTCTTGGGTCCTTGCTTAGATGGCGATCTCCTTAAGGACAGAGATCTGCCTGGCACCTCTCTGCACCTCCCACATCAAACCCAGGCCAGAGACATATCAGGGAATGTGCATTACTGAATGGATAAAGACACAGAAGAGGGCCAGGGAGATGTTAGCTCTTCCTAAAATCCAACTCTATACTCTCTCAAAAGAAATGAGTCAAGAGCCAGGGACACAGAGCACAATGGGTAAATGTTTATTTAGTGTTTATTGTATGCTAATAATAAATGATTTATAAGTGCTCTCAGATGTAGACCTTACTCCAGCTCTATGGAGGGATGTATCGTCATTCCTGCTTTACTAATAAGAAAACGGAAGTTCGGAGACTATGCTTAGCTTTCCTGGTGGCTAATGAGTCCTTCAGAGTCCATGCCCTGCTCAATCTTCTTCCTGCCAATCCACTACATACAATGAGATGGAGACAGCTAATGTTCTGGTTTGCTCACAGCCCATCAGGCATGGAGAAGGAAGGAGTGCGGGGTTTGGCTTGTCCTGCCCACACTAAAATGGTCCCTATCCACCCAAGGGCAGATGAAGCAAGGAGAGTAGATGGATCAAACTCCCTGTGGTTAGAACTATAGCTGCCTGTCCCAAGACTCCATGCCCACTTCCTTTCCTTGTGTCCCTGTCCCTGGCTCTAGCTCTTCACAGACAGACTGAAGTCAGAAGCAGGAAGTTGAGGAAAAGTTGTGACATCTTGTTCCTGGTGTATTCCAGGTAGCCTGCTCAGGGACATCACTTACGCCAACAGCCTGAGTGCCTGGTCATCTGGTCACTCCAGGGAGATCACAGCAGGAGGGTCCTCATGGACAAAGATCGTGATCACAGACACACACACACACAGAGAGAGAGAGAGAGAGAGAGAGAGAGAGAGAGAGAGAGAGAGGAAGCCCTGACCTTGACTAATTAACCTCAGGTGTCTGTGGGGTGAGAGACCTGAGGTAGACTATCCAAGTTCTCTTTGTGTGGCTCATTTGCTATCCCAATTTGGCTCTGGCAGAGCTCTCCTAGCACTCAGGGGCACAGGTAAGTTCTCTCCCAGCCCGATTTCTCTGACTCTGACAGCTGTCTTTTGGGTGCCAGGAGAGCTGCTGCATCTGGTTGGAGTCACAGGATTGTCCACGAAGGAGTATCTCATGGAACCCCCTGAAAAAAACTTTCTCCTTCCACTGGGCTGAGTATCCGGGAAATCTATTCCTTTGGAGCTGCAGGCCTTCTGGGCATCAAACCAGACAGATGTGTAGCACTATGGCAAACAGACAAGCGGGCAAACACCAATAACCCATAAAGCAGAGGGTTAGGAGAGAAGGGAAAAGTACACACACACACTCACACACACGCTCACTCACACACGGAGTTTGGCCAGTAAAGTTTCCCTGTGGAGAAAAAGCCTCCTTGCCAGCGGGATTCGCTAAGACCCAGGGAGATTTCCCCAGGAATCCTCTTCGAAGGCAAGCGGCAAGCGGCAGCCGCAGCAGTTTCCACAAACAGCAGCAAAACTTCAGTCCTAAAAGTCCCCCAAACTTCCCCCTCCCTTTCTCCCTCGGTCTTTTGTTCCCCCACTGCATTGCCAACCAAGCAGCTCCCAGCTTCCCACACTGGACTGTCCTCCCCCAACCCCAACCCCAACCCCTGCCCG